TGTGTGTGTGTGTGTGTGAATGTGCCCAGAACTGCCAGCTCATGTCCTGTGCTGCCTGTCTGCAGCTAGTGCGGGGGTCAGAGGACAAGAATAACACGGTGTGTTTGTGTGTGTGTGCGCATGTGTGTGTGTGTGCATGCGTGCATGTTTGTGTGTGTGCCTGTGCACGCGCATGTGTGTGTGTGTGTGTGTGAGAGAGAGAGAGAGCGTGTGTGTGTGTGTGTGAGAGAGAGAGAGAGAGAGTGTGAGCGTGTGTGTGTGTGTGTGAGGTTGTATGTTTGTGTGTGTGCGTGTATGTACTTTTGTGTGATAATATGAGTGTACATTTGTAGGCCTGTGTTTCTGTGTGCATGCATATGATTACAAGTGTTCCCAATAGATGACAAAAAAACACACACCCCGACTCCTAGTCAAGTGCAATATTGTTATCAGTTTGGCATTTAGAACTGTAGCAATTTTTTTGTTTTGTTTTGAAAAATATTTTTAAAGTTTTGACCTGAGTCTCTGAGTCATGAAGTGAGCAAAAGTGAAAATGCCTCAATAATAATTGGATTTGTTATACACAAAACAAAATGATGCTACCTTGGGGATATGAGACAAATATAAGTTTTTTTCCACCAAACCAAAAACTAGAAACCACCTGGACCAAAAAAAAAGATTTGCACAATATTGCGTTGTGAACTTGACAATATATTTTCCGCCAAGGTGGAATAAAACTTAAAATTGTCTCATCTCTTTGCCATTGTTTTACATGCACACTTCAGCAAAACCTCTTGGAAGAAGTTCTTCAGCATGTGGAGGAGTACAGAATGGCGGAGAGAAGAGCCAACAACTCGGCCTGGTCTCAAAGTATCTCATGTTCTCTTTGTTCTTGTGTTGTCGTATAGGTTTGCCGTCTATTGTAGCTTGTTCCCACATGGGACGCCCACTGTTAAAAATAATCAGGAAACGACAAATGCAGTTTTTGGGACACCTGAATAGACATAAAGGTCTTGAACGTCTAGCTCTCACTGGCAAAATTGAAGGCCAACTAGGCATTGGTAGGCCCAGAGCAACCTACTAGGGAACCTAAACAAATGAGCAACAGGGAAAGATCAAGGAAACAGCTTTTTTTAAGAGCATCCGAGCAAAGGAATGAATAGAGAACCATGATCGCTGATGTCTGTCACAGATCTGGCACTGGAGGATGAAGATGATAGCTTTTTCTCTTTCATCTGTGTTTGACAGCGGTTAAAATTAGATAAAAACAAATTGCTTTGTTTAATGTTCTGAGGTCTTTGTTTGCAGGTCTAAAAGTTGGATGACCAAGAGAATCTGGAAACCCATTAATGAAGGTCACTGTAAACTAAAGTTCCGACACATTTTCTTGGATATTAGCACAAAGCGGTTAAAAAATAATAAGGATTGAGACATGTGGAGATGTCTAGACTTGTCATGGGATAAAATCGACAAGCTTACACTGAGATATGGGGGCAGGATGGGGTTGTTGTTTTAAAATGAACAATTTGTTGGCTAGGTTACTGTAAATCATTTATTGTAGTTATCCTGTGCATTCACCCAGAAGGCAGTGTTTAATATAGGGCTCAGGTAAAGAAACTTTTTATTACTGGATCAAGATTAAAAAATTTTGTTGTTGTTTGGTTTGCTGGCCTACAGGAGTGCCATGCAAGATTATGTGCGCATTGGTAAATTAATAAATGAGCTCTTTTTTTTAGCGCTGCTTTGAGAGACCAAAAAAAAAAAAAAAAAATTTTAAATGTACTCATTTACAGAACTTGTTCTCCATCTTTGATCCAAACAGAATTCTTTATTTTTATAACGGCCATTGGTCTTTACTCAAAGATGTAAATTGCTATTTTAAAATGGAAATTGCTTTTTTTTCATATTAAATATTTATTATATACTTGAGACTGGAAAAAAATTAATTCAAGCCGTACTTTGAACTAACATGTAAATAGCGAAAACCATAAAACTTTAATCAGACTTCGCTAATGTGGGCAGACGAAAGTTAACAAGCTATAGACCGGTTGTGTTCTGCAATGTGAGCTGTTACAGGAGTTCTGCGAAGTCCTCTCACCAACAAATACTAATCAGTGCCCTGAATAATAATTTTTTTAAACATTATTATCTTGTGACCACAAAGTATATTAAATCTTGTTTTATGATCCATAGCCTCTCCCAGTCTGTCTGAACCAGTAACCATAACCTCTCCCAATATTATGTCTGGTCAAGTAACCATAACCTCTCCCAATACAGTGGAAACCTGATAGAACAGGGATGGTGGGACCAGAGAAAAAGTCCTGTTATATCGGATCCCTGTGAAAACAGAAATGAAATTCACGGAAAGTAAGCATTTGTGGACTAATCCAGCTTTATTTATTCATGGGTAGTTTCTCATAGCCTGCACATGACACATTACACGTGCGTGTAGCTAGGCTTAGGGCTATATCGAAGTCTGCAGCACACCGCAGCCCTCGCTTGCTTCACCCACTGCGTGTGCTTGCAGTGGAGTGGCTTGCGTTGCTTGCTCCATCACTGTGTTACTTTCTCTCTCTCTTACTTTTTACACATTGTTAACGAGCCTTTGTCCCTGCTATAAACGATTGGGCTCTGTTGAGGTCCTGTTATTGCCCATTACTTTTAATAGAAACAAAGAGTTGGGAAAAAACGGGAATTCATTATTAGCGGGCCTGTTATATATGGTTTCCACAGTATTATGTCTGGTCAAATAACAGTAACTTCTCTCAGTCTCAGTATTACATCTAGACTTTTGACTAACCTCCTGTTCACCACCCCTATCACCGTCCCTTAAAAGCCTTGAACCATTTGACCTGTTCCTCCTCCGCAGGTCCGGTGAAGTCCTCAGCATCAAGTGAGCTGTTCCTGTTGCTCTTTGAGTTTGAAGCTCTGAGCAAGCTGCATGACCCTCGAGCAGAGTCTGTGTTAGAGAGGGCGCTCACCTTACCTCACCCAGAGCCCAAGTTATTTCACACTCTTGCAGGTACAACAACACTCATATTCATAAACCTATCAAACACACTCTAGCAGGGATAACAAACATTTGTATGGATAAATTTATCACATACTCTTGCTTGTATAACAAACAGTCCTTCACATAAACCTATCACATACTCTTGCAGGTATAACGAAACTCCTATATGTAAATCAATCAAATACTTTTGCTGGTATAACAAACAGTCCTGTACATGACCTATCACATATTCTTGCAGGTAACAAAACTCCTACACATAAACTTATCAAACACACCCTAGCAGGTACAAGAACGCTCCTACACACTAACCTCTAACATACTCTTGCAGGTACAACAAGCACTTCTCTACATCAACCTGTCACATACTCTTGCAGGTATAAGAAAATTCCTACGTGTAAATCAATCACATACTGTAGCCGGTACAACAAACGCTCCTACATGGTATGTAAACCTATCGCATACTCTTGCAGCTATAACAAACACTCCTGTATGTAAACCTATCCTTGACTCAAGAGGATACTATACATGTGCTTTCTCTTTACATTTGGTTTCTCCCCCCCCCCTCCCCTGTTCTCTCTATTCCTCTATCCCACAAATACGCACACACACGCGCACACACACACACACACACACACACGCTCACGCGCACACATATATTTATGAACCAGTAATCAGGTATTAAATGAGACATAATTGTCACAGACTTGGAGAAATGTATCCCCAAAAGATACAGTCACAGTCACAGTCATAACAAAGCTATGTGTTGTCCCCCAGCACTGGCAATGGATGGCCAGGTGAAGAATGCACACCTCTCTCTCTCTCTCTCCAACTCCACCCCCACCTCCACATCATATCTCTCTCCCTTCCTCCCTATCTGTCTATCTATCTATCTATCTATCTATCTATCTCTATCTCACAAATGCTCTCTCTCTCTCCTC